CCTAATCCCCACTTTTCGACTCACGCGTAGCTTCCACCGTTCATCCGTAATGGTGTGGTTTTACATAGGTATAGAAACAGATATTGCTACTATATGTTAAAAAACTCTATCTTTTTCCTCTTACGCGATGCGTAAAACTTTTGGACACTACGACAATGGAATGCCGCTCAACGTATCGCTCGTTCTGTCTCGCTTGTTCTACATATATCTGACTCACTCTCCGCGTCACGCGACTGATTAGTGTATGTGTGCGCCTCGACAAATAGCGTGTTGTTGCCGAAAATGCGTGTGACAATAGGCGGCAACGTTACAATCCGACCACTGCGATGCTCTTTTCGTCCCTCTAGCCCCGTTCCCGTCCCGCTACTTTTCTCTCGTGCTCTGGACAGTACTATCTTCAACTCAGCTATATTTAAAAATAATATTAATTTTGTACTATGTTAAATTATACACATTGTCAATTACTATTCCTATCAGCATCGCACTTGTACCACCAATTACATAGCACTCGGTATATATTTCTGTATAGCATATCTTACCGATAGTGATCATCGTATTTCACCAACATCGATGCAAAATAAATCACAATCATTTTCTGTTACGCTTAACATTGGCAACCGTAATCCTCATTGCAACAGTTATTATATCGCTACTTAGTTTCTCCCTCTAAACGCTAAAAAATATGAATCCTCTCACTCGTTTCGGTAATTATACACATCGCCCTTAGAAGTAATGGAGTATTTTGGTAATCAACGCCTATCCGAGAAACCGAACGCCTTCACGATATCCTGCCCGTTCGCGACACGGAAGATCACTTGGAAACGTAGAAAATGATTTGGAAAACTCGTGTCGTTGTGATAGAACGCAGCGCATGCTATTCGTCGAGCATTACAAAAACATTTAAGGTACAGGTATTTTTTACAGGCTTACGCAAGTAAGGAGAACAGAAAAATATTAGCTCTGCAGTTTGGTTTTCTTTTTCTTTAAATTTACGTACGCGATATTCATCCTCACACGTGTACGCGCGTGCGTGTATATACACAGAGCACTCGCTTGTTTTTTATCCGAAGACTTATACGTATTACATCCTCGTAAAGCGGACGATCGAGAGTCCAAGAAACAGAAAATTAGTTCGCTTTGTTACAGGGTATTAGTATTAGTATTATCATGGAATGTGTCGAGAAGGAAATTCTTTCCTCTACAATCGACATCGAGCAATCGACAGGAAATCGATGCCTAACTGTGCGTACCTTCTTCTTATCCGTATACCTTATCATTTTATCTCTTTTATCTTCGTTGAAGTCTACCTAAAGATCGGTGACTCGAAAAACAGAAATGTAACATGTCCGGTTTATTTGAGCACAAGTATTTCAAATGAATGACGCGAAATAAAATTTCGGACAAAAATTATATAATGTCAAGATTTATCCACTTTTTTTATATTACATTTTAATAATTTTTTACGCAAAATGCTTCGAAGTCCGTGTAAAGAATATATTATTTTATTTAAACATTCTAATATGACTTTTACAGGACGTTCAAGGTCATCGCAAAGTCAGACACAAGCATGTTCTTGATATCATACAATTTTTATCATTTATATTATTCGAAATATTAATATTCTCAAATACATCGGACATACGGATAAACTCTTGTCGCGTTATTTTCAACAATAAAACAAAGTGCCTCCGTTAAAAAAAAAGTACGCATGTTCTTCGAAAAGAAAAGGTTTCTGAAGATAGTTGAACTTTCAAAGATTCTTTGTCACCCTACAGTTCTCGATCAAATCGCAAGAATAAATAAAAATATATCTGGCTGACGATTCTTAGAATCGTCTTTGGACCATTAATCATTATCGTATTATTCAATTAAATACAACGCTGAATTGAGCTTGTGATAAAACCTTAATACGAATTCTTCGTTTATTTTGTACAAAAAAGGGAGAGAACAAAAAGAAAATTATTAAATATACTTTGTTCCTTAACGGGAAAACGAAAAACAACCCTGTGAAAGGCGATTAAACGGTGTATAATAAAAATAATAATCGTCGTTAGAATATTACATTTGTATCTTTAATGGTACTACTTACGATAATGCGTTTACGTGCTTAACACGCTTTCTATATTAACAAAAATTTCTTGTGTATTAACTTTCTTTATCAACATAAATATTAACATATAAATAAGCGAACGACGAAACTCGCTGATTCCTTTGCTTGTATTCACGTTCGATGCCCTTCTTTCTTACGCATGCGCATTGGCGTCATTTTTGTCTGGAGACTTTAGTATTAATAGAATAGACATCTTGTAGGGGGTATGACTGAAATTTTTGAACATTTGGAAGTTGGAGATTTAAAAATTAAGGAGTTGAGAGATGTAGGAATTGAGCATTCAGAAATTTTAAATGTGTATATGAGACTTTAGTTTTGAGAATTGGGGATGTAAGAGTTGGAGATGTAGGAATTAGGGATGTAGAAATTGGGGATGCAAGAAGTGGGGATGTAGAAATTGAGGATGCTAAAAGTGGGGATGTAGAAATTGGGGATGTAGGAATTGATTACGTAGAAATTGGGGATGTAGAAATTGGGGATGCAAGAAGTGGAGATGTAGAAATTGGGGATGTAGGAATTGAGGACATAGAAATTGGGGATGTGGGATTTGGGGATGTAAGAGTTGGGGATATAAGAGTTTGGTGGGTGCAAGAATTAGGGATGTAGGAACTGGGGATGCAGGAATTCAGTACACGAGAACTCAGGATATAAAACTTTGGGTTGACAACTGGAAATGTAGCAATTGTTGTGAGATTTCATACTCCAAAAATCTGAGCAATGTAACAATACTGTACTTTAAAAATTTGAGAACACAAAAAATTCTCATATTACCTAGTAATGCCAATGCACATGCCAAAAAATTAAAAACACATTTCTATGGAACAGTTTCGTGCAAAACGTGTAACATTGTGCGACGAGTAACAGAGGTGGTGTTTCGTTGAAAACAAACAAAACAAGAGAATCGTCAGCCATTTCTCTAGGAGGCAGTGGCGGTGGATGGAAGCGAATTGGGTCACGCGAGATTCGTTTCCTGCTCGCCCCATCCTTCGCTGTCGCACTCGCTTTCCGATGCTGAATCGCTGTCACTAAACTCGACAGCCACACGTCGTGCAAGTATAGAAGCGACGTCGTTTAATGCATTCACACGTTCCACTTCCTTCTGTTCGATCTTCTCTACTTTACGCAATTTAATCCCTGAAAAATAAACGGTACATTTTGGATATAGTTCAGAGAATGTTTCTGAAACTTCAAAGGGTCTGCATACGTTTACACAACATTTTTGTTTGTTCCACTTAGGGAATGTACAAAGTTTGAAGAGGAAATGTCGAGATAACATGCTTTGAAATTTGAACTTCTTGTGAAGTTATGCTTTTGATAGTTTGATGACTTGCAAAGTACCTTTCACAGCTACTAATTTGCTGTACTGAATTGTTAGTACGTTATAACATTATACAACAACTAAAATATTATATTATACTATATTTATATTTCCATCAACATCTGCTAACATTACTTCTCATACACACTTCTTATTCCTACTATTTTATTTTTATTTTACAGTCACTTACAGCTATTTTTATTTACACACTTCAATAATAACAAAAGTTATTAATACAGAAAACTGTTGAATAAAAGTAGCAGAACCCTTTCGATCCCACTGTACATCAGGGACAACGGAAAGTCAATTCTAATTAATTGAATCATAGGATAATTACCGTCTCTGATCGCTTTAAGTAGATCGTTTCGCGGATCGACGAGGGGGATGTTCGGATTAACGGGCTTCCTCAATTGCCCGTCCACGATATTCTTCAACGGTTTCAAGGGTTTCAGCTTGGGCGGATTGGTCGCTATCATTTTGGCAATATCACCGTTGGTTAACGGCACAAGAGGCGATGGTCCATTAGCGACGGGTGGTGGAGGAGGTGGCGGGGGAGGAGGTGGGATATTACAGGGTGGTGAGATGGGCCTAGGTGGTGTGGGATCCGGAGTAGGAGGTGGAGGAGGCAGATCTTGAGGAGCGGCTGGGTCAGTTTCGTCGTTTCCGATCTGTGTCGAATGATTTGGCGGGGTTGGTGTCGAGTGGTGACTCGGTAATGGACTATTCGGACGACTTCCGCTTCTGTTCAACAAGTGCGACGGTATGGAACCTGAAATGATAAAAATTCATTAATAAAAAGGTTCAAACGTATATATTAATAATATACAAGAATATTTGTGTATTATAATTGATACTTTAGGGATAGAATGTTCAGTTTGATATTATCACCTTAATAAATATACTTGTACATCAAAAACTATGCATATATCATCATGCATGTTATCATAAAATCATTATGTACATAAAATATCAAACAATGGTACTTAAGTCACAATCAAAGTATCAAACCATTCTCCCCGCAGTATCATTATATCGCAAAATCGTGAATATATTTACCGTTCATAGGAGGAGGAGACATAGTTTCACCAGGAGGCGGAGGTGGCGGTGGAAGGGTGTCTCTACCGGTGCTCATCGATCTTCCTCGCGTTGGGGTGTTGTTGGCGGATGCTACCGTAGGAGTTGAATTGCTGGAAGCGTTGCTTGGAGGAGCTGGCGGTGGTTGCGAGGGTCGCGATCTGCCACCCCTACTCGGGGTACTCTGGCCACCAGGACTCTGGTACGTCTCGCTTCCCGCCTGTCCTTGACCCGTGCCATAATGCGACCCGTACAGGCTGTCCTCGTAACCCTGGCCCGCGTAATTTGCTGCCCTGTTTGTTCAACAAGCATTGTTTCTTCCGGTTCAGTCCCTTCTCGTTTAGGTAAAATAAGCTCTCAAATTTTAACCCCTCGCACTCACGACCACTCGGAACACGTCAGCGTTTAAGCCTCTCCTGTGGTTTCAATTATACAGTTTGCGCTGCGGTATTTTTAGACGTATCTGATGAAGTTGATCTAATATGAAGTTACATTATTTTGTGGAGTTGAATTGTCCGATGCGATTCAATTATTATCTCATGAAGTTGAATTATTGTCTGATGCAGTTCAATTATTATCTCATGAAGTTGAATTATTGTCTGATGTAATTGAATTATTATCTGATGAAGTTAAGTTATTATCTGACAATACAATTATTTTATGAAGTTGAAGTCTCATGAAATTATATTGTTATCTGATGAAAATTTTTACTTGATGAAGTTGAATTATTACTTTTTCATCGAGATTTATATTCAAGCTTCAAAATAAACATATTAATGATTTCTTTAATACATAACAAAACTTGAAGTCAACCGATGTACCAATATTTTACCCACAACAAAAGTGTTTATGATGAAGTAAAGCAAAATTACGAGAGTCTTACCAGAAGATAAAAATATCTTCATATAATCAACATCATGTAACAACATCATGTAATCAACCCCATATAACATCATCTAATTAAATACACAATAATGTATATGTATATTAAACAGCACAAACTTGTACAAATGAAACCATACAAAAAAAGAAGTACCACACAAAATGACGTACCTATAGTGATCAGAAGATGGAGGACTATAAAGATGTTGTTCCTCCGGTGGATAGCTTCGTCTAAGTTCGATGCTGTTCGGCCTCGGAGGTCGAGGTTCGGTCATCACCATACCCAGCAGCGATTCGTCGGGTATGTTATGGGGTGCCCTATACTGGACACCTTGCGTTGGCATAATGTATTCCCCATGTCCAACGGCCAATTGTCTCTGCCTTTCTCTGGTGTTGTGTGGTTGTCTTATACGCTTCTTGTGTCGGCCACCGCCTCCGCCGCCACCCTCGTTCCGTGGCCTATGCGGCTGTGATGCAGAGATCCTTCGTTAAAAAAGCTCGTCTAGCACGAGCACGCCAGCAAAAGGTGCAAGACAAGCTTAAATTTATCAATCAAGCATGACTCGACGGTTGATCCAGCGGGTTTCGTGAAATTGTGCACAGAGATTCCCAAACTGTGGGTCGCGATTTTGGGGGATGAACTTTAGAATTTTGGCTTCTGAACTTTTTGTGGTTGGAGACTTTTGGGGAATTTTGGATGTGGAATTTTTGGGGTTGGAAATTTTGGAGTTTTGGGATTTTGGGAGGTTGGGGGGTTTAATGTTGGAAACTTTGGAATATTTGAACTTTCGTGAGGGAAACTTTGAGATTTTGAGAGTTTGAGAGTTTGGGAGTTTGGGAATTTGGGAATTTGAGAGTTTGGGAGTTTGGGAGTTTGGGAGTTTAGGAGTTTGGGAGTTTGGGAGTTTGGGAGTTTGGGAGTTTAGGAGTTTAGGAGTTTTTTAATTTTGAGATCTCAGAACTTTCGAGTGATGGAATTTTGAGATTTTTAAACTTGGAATTATGGGATTTTGACACTTCCAAATTTTGGAATACTGAAATTTTGAAAGTTCCAAACTTTGAAACTTTTGGAACTTCGAGATTTCGAAACTTTGGAATTTTTCAAATTTTCAATTTCAGTACTACGGAATTTTGAAACCTTGCAACTTAATTTTGTAATTCCGAATTTTTTAACTTTGTAATGACACTCTACCCATAAAAGTCTAGGAACCCCTTGTAACTATAATTCGTGCTGATAGATATAGCAAGATCGTAAAACTTTACGTATAAATATATCTCATAATTTTGCATTCTATTTTATTTACGATCACACTACATTGTTTCCTATTGATCACTATGTTTGCTTTGAAACTATATTAAAAACCAGATCAACCATCGAACATGAAGGTGTGTAGGAAATAAAAATACTGTTTTTTCAAATATTACACGGATAGAATTATTTGTTCTCTCGTCCGGTAAATAGTAATTGTATGGACATTTGTATGTGTACTTAAAATTAAAAAAAGGACAAAGTTTGCAGGGATACGAAATATTCCAAGATCAAAGACTACCTTTAAAATTCCACAATTTCCAAAATAAAAATTTCCTTTAATTCTTAAAAAAAATGTCTTTTTAATTAAATTTCACCAAGTTAACAAAATTACCTTTTCAGAGTAAGCTTTTTGCACAAAATTTCCTATTTACAATTGAAAAGTGTACATAACCAAATTTCCTATATGAAAAATTTTATAAAATACAAAAATATTAATTCCAAGACGGTCTGCCTTTCAATTTCAACGTCACTAAAAAATTTCACAGCACTTTTCTGTACGCGAAAATGCAACTTTCGGAAAATTTGCAAATTTCAAACTATCTCCACATACAAATGTCATCATTTTATTCCATAACCGCAATTTTATTTCCCACACATGAAACATGACAGGTCGGAAACAAAATAATCCTGAAAATGGCTCGAGACTATAGTATCGATTGCAAGATGGCGCGTGAACAATGATGATGATGATGATGAGAGTAACTTCTATCGAGTACATCCAAAAGTTGCATGGCTGGCACAGAAACGGCAATACAAGTGAATCGACATACGTGACGTGTGATTGTGAGATAAACTATTCGAGTTCGAGAATAGCGAGAGGGTTTGAAGGGGTGGGAAGAGGTGTGATTCGATTCAAAAAGAGGGCTGTTTCAGCGTAGATCGAACTCAGAGTCAAATATAAATATAAAGGTACTGTTAATTCTTACAAAAATTTCAAACGTTAAATAAATAATTTTTAGAAATTCACTTTGCAATTTCATTGATTTTATTGCACTTTGAGTTGGGTGAACTTACAATTGATCAAACAGAGTTTATTAAATTAAGATATTTTTGGCGTTCGCTATTTTAATTTAATTTTTTTTTGTGGATATTTGTTGGTGATTATTTAGGTATGTTTGTAAAATATTTTCAAATTTCTGAGGTGGTGTATTTCTCAATTCCTGGGTTTACAAGCTTTAAAAATTCCAAATTTCCAAATTCTCTTACTTCCCAATTTCCAATCCCCAATTCCCCAAATCTCAAATTATCCAAATCCCAAATTTCCCAATTTCCCAAATTCCAAATCCCCCAAATTCCAAATCTTCTAAATCCCAAATCCCCCAAATTCCAAATTCCCCAAATCCCAAATCCTCCAAATTCCAAATCCCCCAAATTTCCAAATCCCCTAAATTCTCACTTTCCCAAATTCCAAATCCCCCAAATTCCAAATCTTCCAAATTCCAAATCCCCCAAATTCCAAATCCCCTAAATTCCAAATCCCCTAAATTCTCACATTCCCAAATTCCAAATCCCCCAAAATTCCAAATCCCCCAAATTCCAAATTCTCCAAATTCCAAATCCCCCAAATTCCAAACCCTCAAATTCCAAATCCCCCAAATTCCAAATACCCCAAATTTCAAATCCCCCAAATTCCAAATCCCCCAAATTCCAAATCCCCTAAATTCTCACATTCCCAAATTCCAAATCCCCCAAAATTCCAAATCCCCCAAATTCCAAATC